GTTATTTAGTGACTGTCAACTCTGACACCCACTCCAACCACATTTCTTTGTTTCAGCATGATGAGTCTGTTTCTTGACTTGCTTTTTGTCAGCAGAGAAGGGGTCCTGAGAACTGTTAAGTTCAATAGTGCATTTCACAAGCTTATTAGTTAACATTGGTTAATATTAACCCTTGTCAGATAGCGTGGTAAGGAATTTTTTCATCAGCTTTTCTCCACTTCCTTTTGAAAGCTAGCTGTTTGTGGCTCTTACTGTTTTTTAACCCAGAACTAGGGTATTTTTAGAGGGGTAGAATCTCTGATTGCATACAGATGATGACCTTCACTCACAAGTTTGTATCTTGCAGCTTGTAAAATAGTGTGAACTTCTACAGAAGCTTTTACCTGACTTTTTAACTTTTAAGGACAGGAATACCCCACCAATTCATAGCAAGTGTCTTACTCCAGAAAGTATGCTGTAAAATTCAAGATGATTAAAAAGAAGAAGAGCCATCTTGAAGAACGGGAGAAAAACTTAGGTGCAGAGAACAGATCGAACAGCAGAAGCTTGAAGATGCTTCCTAGACGTGGCCTTGTCTGTCAGTGTTTAAGAGGCATTTGGACAATGTCCTTAACAAGATATGCCAACTTTTGGTCAGCCAAAAAGTGGTCAGGCGGTTGGACTAGATCATTACAGGTTCTTTACAACTGAAATATTCTAAACTGTATGAATATAAAGTCAAGTTTTATGCAATAGCTTTAACTTCATAAGTGTGGTGACTGTGAAAAGGGAAAATAGTATTTTACAGCTCATTCCAGCAGATCTAAGATGTTCAGCTCCAAAGGGGAATGTTACCTTCTACTACTCCTGCACTACATTTGGATTTAGAATTAAGATGAACTGAAGATTGTCAATGTTCCAGTTACATTTTGCATTAGACTAATAGAATGGAAAACATGAAAAAAAAATGGGCAAGCTTTTCTGGCACATGAGTTCTGGCACATATCTGCCAGAGATGAACGTTTATGTGACCAAGAGCTCTGACTTTTTTTTTTTTTCTATATCTACCTGAACTGTCTGAATTACTACACTACTTCCAGAAAATCTTCTCCTTCTGTGTCCACTGTTGATGGATTTCTAGATACATACCCTTACAAACAGTCTTGATCATGGTCTTAGTCACAAGTTTTCTCATTTGATCCATTGCAGGTTCATGTATTAGGCAGTCAAAGAGATTATTGGGGATTTACAGTGCTCAGTAGATGAACCTCTTCCTGCGAAAGCATCTAAGAAGCTACCATTAGGAAACATGTTTGTGAAATAATGTGCCTGTCTGTTGAATTTTGGTTGCCTACTATACAATTGTTCTTGAAACTTTAGCTTTTAAATGTTGTGCTCTATAACTGTGTTTGTACATGTGCTATTTTAAAAAAACTATACTTGTCTTAACATTTTGATTTTATTATTGTGGGATTGCTCTGTTACAGGTTATCTCTTCACGTGAAAATTGTCATGAATTTCCCAGACCAAAAATTAATGTTTATATTAATAAACATACTCTGGCAACTCCAAAAAATGGTATATTAAGAGATATTACAAAATTTGATTAAATTTGCGGAGAAATGATGAGGCACAGAAAAAAATCCTTCTTCTAGGGCCTGCAGCAATGCATATTAGGCAAGATAAACAAAGCAGGCCAGGAATATTTGGAGAGAAAGACACCTGCTTCTAAAAGGGTACTGTGGTATCCAACCATTCTATAATCTAGCATTGTCTGAGGGAACAGAGGGAGTGGGAAATTGTATGCTATTGCTTGTGTTTTAAATTACACTTTAAAACTCCAGTGTGGTTCATGTCAGCATGCGTGTACCTAAACACACAAATACATGTAAGTACTACACAATCTGCTGCTGAGGTCACAAACAAGTAGAACACCTTAAGAATGTCACCAGGATGCATTTTCTGTTTCAGTGAAAGCATGTTAAACCTATACTGAGGAAACATGCCAGGCATGATGTCCATGATGTACAATCTTTTGAGACCAGAGGACATTGAAAACAAATACATGCCTGTCACACAGCTCAGACCTGGCTTGCTATCTAGAGCAGTAAACTGCAGAGGAGTTGATCTGTGTGCTGCATGTTCCTGGTTTGATTCATTGGGGGATAGTGAAAGTATGTTTTGAGAGATTTCAAGAGCCCATTAAAGAGAAGTTGTGTCTTCTGCTAAGAATTCAAAGCTTCTCAGTAGATGCCAAAATTCTTTTGGCATCTTTTTCTAAGCTAGAATGGAAGCTCTTAGAACAGGAAACAGCACGTAATAGCACCTCATGTTAAAGCTTTGTTGTTAGGCATGCCTTGGGTTTTATAAAGTGGAAATACCTGGGATCTACTTGGACTAGAACTCAGGACACTGTATAAAATGCCGCCTTAGGGAACTGAAAGAGGAACCAAAACTGACGGAGCTCAGCACCAACTGCTGTACTTGCCAAGACAAATGGACACTACAGTTACATAAATTGGGATACTTGTATCACAAAGGTTTTGTAATGTATAAATCATTATTATGATGCACCTTGCTCTCATCAGGACCTAATCATGCAGACTTTTAGCTACTCAGTTGTGTTCAGGCTACAGACAAATAGACTAACTTCAGTCTGCAAACCTATTTCATTAAAAGCACTGTACATTGAAATACACATTCATGAATCATTGGTTGCAGACATTTCTTTATAAAGTAATATGCTCAAATAATCTATAAAGAGTAGTACCATAGATCAGTACTATAGAGGAAAATTTAAATGGTTTAGGAAATATTACAACCTGCTGGTTCCAGTTGTGTGAAGTTTTTTTATTTAAAAATAGTTAACCTGTCTTAGCTGAATGTGATCCACTACTATATGCTCTGATGACTTTCCTCTTTTTGTCTCTTTCTCTTTAAACTGTCAACAAATCCAAAGTCTAGGAACAGCAGACATTTCACAACTTTTCAAAATTTGTACTGAGTAGACTGTGAAATAAAACATTCAGCAACAAATTGCAGCTGTTAACAGCCTAAAGAGTATCTGGGTGTTTTCAGATGTCCTGTTCTTCCAATGGATTTTTGATGTTTATTCCCTGTAGAGATTGAGCTTTCAGTTTTGGTGGGAAATTTTGTTTCTAGACTTTCCAATTGCAAAGATAAATTTGCAAATGTGGACCACACCACTGTTGATCTGTATCAAACACATAGAAAAAAAGGCATTCAATATGAACTACCCTTTTTGACAGTAGAATTTGAAGCCTGTGATCAGAAATCTTTTCATCAGCATGCCCAGTTAGCTTCTGTATTCTGTATGAGTAGGTGCTGCATTTATTGAAAATGCAGTTTGCATGCCTAAGCATACACTACTTAACCTTTTATTTTCCTCACAGTTGCTCAGGGGATCCCATTTTCATCTCAAACTCACAGACCCTACATTAATGTTTCTTAATTACATTACCTCTGCCATCTTCAGAGTACACTAAGGCAGTCATTTTCTGATGATAAATATGATGATCTATTCCCACCCATCCAGGTAATCTAACAACACAGACTAATCAGGGTCAATTCTGACACTATCCACCTCTGCAGGGACTCACACTTGCTGAAAAAAGAACAGATGGTACTTAATAAATTCTTCTAACCCTTTTGGAAAACAATGTCAGCCCATGCATCTGAAGACAGCACTTTTGATCACCACTAGCTTTGTACAACTTGCATTCAGCAGATCTCTACCTAAATGGGTCAATACCACCCATTTGCTGAAGATCCAACACAAAATGGACAGTAACAAACTAAAAGGCAACATGTTTGAATCTGGGAAACGAAACAGACACAGAAGAATGGACACTCCAGTGCATTAAATAAAGAAGAAAATAATTGCATATCTCTGCACAGAAAAGGAGGTTCTTAATACAATTCGCTCTGTGTAATGATGGACATTTTTCTACCCTGGTCTTCATTTTCAACTAACTGTCCTCCTTAGGATAACAGACCAAATTCCCTCTATAGCTAATCTTGGTGGTTGGTGGCTGAAGGCTGATCAGTGTCTGACTGAATTGCAGAGTGTGATCACCTGCCTTTACCAGGCTTCTCTGCTGTGATTCCTAATTGTTTGCATCCCCTGAAAAATGCTAGTGTCTCACTTCTCCAATACGCATGAAGTATCACAGTAAAACTAAAGTTACTGTTTTTCCAGAGTTATTGGCAATGCTTAAAGAGCCGGCAAGGGAAAAGTATGCAGGTCCTTGCACTGCTGAAACAGGTTGAGAGAGAGAGAAAAGGCCAGGATTAAACAGTAGTTACAGACAATGGAATCATTATAGAATTATCAAAGTTGGGAGAGAACTTGAAGATCTTGAACACCTCCAGGAATGGTGACTCCCCCGCCTCCCCGGGAAACTTATTCCAATGCCTCACCACGCTAGGAATGATTCTTTTTTGTTTGTTTGTTTGTTTTTTTCCTAATATCTAACCTGAATGTGCTCTGTCTCAGCTTAAGGCCATTTCCTCTTGTCCTCTCACTTGCAGGCACAGCAGAAGAAACTGTTCCCCACCTGGCTACAACCTTCTTTCAAGGGGTTGTAGAGAGCGACGAGGTGTCCCTCCCCGAGCCTCCTCGAGACTAAAGAAACCCAGCTCCCTCAGCCGCTCCACGTGAGAGACATGTTTTCTAGACCCTAGATCAAAGATACTTGTGTGAATGGGTGGACTGCCCACGTTTGGAAACAGTTGTAGCGTCACCCCGCTAACGCCAAGAAACCGCGCAACCGAATAAACAAAACCATCCCCAGGCCACTCCGAAAGCCGGCGGTGCAGCGGCCCCGCGAAGCTCCGCCGGCGGGGGCTCCGCGCAGCCCTTCCCGGGGGCCGCACAGGGGCCGGGGCCGGGCCTGGAGCGCCGCAAAGGCGGCGGCGGCTGCCGCGGGCCGGTCCCGCCCGCCGGCAGGGGGCGCTGCTCGCTCCCGCTGCCGGAAGCGCCCCCTCGCCCCGCCCCGCGGCGGCGCGGCCCCGGGCGCGCCGTGAGACCGCGGCGATGCCGGGCAGGAAGTCTTCCAAGGAGAAGAAGCGGCGCCGCTCACGCTCCTGCTGCCCGGAGGGAGCCCCGGGGCCGGACGGCAGCGACAGGAAGCGGCGGAGCACCGAGTCTACCCACGGTGCCCTGGAGGTATCGCGGGCGCTCCGGGGGTCTGGGCGGTGCCGTCCCTCCTGTGCTGTCCCGGGCGCGTCCCGACCCGACCGGCAGAGGCCTGCATGTTTTCTGTGCCGTGGGATGGCTGCGGGAAGGGCCGTCTGAGAGCGGCTGGCGGCACAAGCACCGGGCCGGGGGGTTCGTTCGCGGCTCGTCGGTGCGGCTGCAATAAGAGCGGCCGGAGAGATGCGCGGCACAGGCACCATGGCAGGCACGGGCCGGACCGCCCCAGGAGACCGGTCTGTGTTTTCCCGGGTGTAAGGGATGTTAAGGCATATGGGTCACAAGCCCAGAGGTGGCCCCGGTCGTGGTTCTCACGCTTGTGGCACGGTGAATCTGCTCAAGGTGGTGTTTGAGTGCGAGTACAAAACTGCGAGTACATGCACGTCATAGTGAATTCTGAGGCTGTCAAAATATATTTCTAGCTGGTTGTTTACTGTTGTTATTATTATTATTATTACTATTATTATTATATCATAGAAGTAATCTAGAATGTATAGAAGATATATTTTCTAATATTAACTCCACCTTTGTTCTCTGAAGACTGTGTCACACAGGGAATTATATGCCAATTTCCATCTTAGCAGGGTAGCTTTAAATGACGAACTCTTGTGATTTAATTGTACAGCAAATCACAGGGATGGATTTCTTCTGCTTTAAAGCGTGCCTTCATATGTAAGCAGCAGCAGCTAGATATTTGCAGATGATATTTCCCAGTTAATGTTTACAGGTAGTCTTTGCTTCTTGAAGATTTAAAAAATTTCCCTAACATAAGGATGGTTTCAGTAATCAAAAATGTAGCTTCTGTAATGCGGTTACTTTGCAATATGAAACACTGTTTGGAACCTGAGAAGTCCACACTAAGATGTACCTTGCAATTATGAAGGGAAAACTATTGCAAGCACAGGTGAAGCTGTAAGTTTCTTCTCTAATTCACTAAAAAATGTGAAAACAATACTTGCCCTCCTTGATTTTAGGAAGCAAAATGCAATGTACCATCTGGAGAAAAAGTGGAAGAAACTGAACAACCCAGTGATGTCGAAGAAGGAGGATTAGATCTCACAGTGTCACTCAAACCTGTCAGTTTCTACATTGCGGACAAAAAGGAAATGCTTCAACAATGTTTCTGTGTCATAGGGGAGAAGAAACTACAGAGGATGCTGCCTGATACTTTAAAGGTACCGAAATGATCTTGACATTGATATACTTGTTATGATCTTGAATCCTTGTGTAACAAAGCATGTTTATCTCTTAAGTCTAGTGGATTTAGAATTTGAAAGCTGCCTGTATATTTCTTAAGTAAAGAAGTCTCTGTCAAGTCAAGTACTTTTCTTAAGTAAAGAAGTTTTCCTAGTCTGGAAGTGAGACTGTTTAAAGATTTGCTGTAGTTATTCTTGATTACTCCTTTTTATACTGCTCAGCTGTTGCTGAACTGTAGGCTTATTTTTAAACTATCTCTCTACTGTTTAGTTAAGTGCAAAAGGAATTTCATAACTGCAAAGAGTAGATTCAGTAATGTTGTTCAGTAATTAATATGATGATTTGTTAATAAATTGTTGATTTCAGTTTGTGTCAGCTGATTTTCTTTTTATGATACTAAAGTAGTGTCTGAGATAAGAAAATAAAACCCTGTGTTGATAAACAGCTTCTGAAGCTGTAACTTCTGTGGACTAAAGCTAAAGTTTTACTGGCTTTGAACATATGCCTTTTGAGTCTTGTGAACAGCAGGACATAGAAAAAAATAAGTTAAGCTAGCAGTCTGTACAGAAGAAGGTGAAGTACCATTTGTGTGATGTTAGTAATTTTAAAATTTTTGTCTCTAGTTTTTAACTAATCTGAATGAGTTGTATTATTAATATAAGTGAGGTAGGATTTCTTCATTTTAAACACATATGGAATTGCATACAGTCTCATCTATTTCTCATCTCTGGGAGAAGAAAAGAGGTCGAGCAGCTGAAAGCAAAGACATTACTGAGTTTGTAAGGAAATTGCCTGATGGTATAGAACCAAGCCTACTGTAGGACTGTGAGTGTTACAATATGTTCAGCACTTCTTAATTTTGGTACTTGTATGTGGTGTCATAGCTCATTTGAAAGTGCAAAATTACCACATTATGTCACCAAGAGGTATGACAGATGTATTGAGCGTGAGAGATGAATCACAGTTTACATATTTCTTTTATTTTCACTGTTGTGATACGCAACTGTTTGTTGTCGGTAGCAGTATTTTCTTCAGTTTGTGAACTTGTATTCAACAGTTGGCTCTGGTCTTTGCATGCTTAATTATGTCATCCACTTCCTCCCGACTGATGGAGAATTAGGAGTAAGCAGGTCTGCAGTTGTTTGCTGTCCCATGCTTCACACATATGGTCTGGTATTTATAATGCTCAGTGTTGCAGCTGCAGTGGAAACTCCCAGCCACACATCAAGTAACTGATACTGTGTACTGCTTAATTTTTCAGAGAAAAACTACACATATGCTATTTCTGGTAGTTGTCAAAACTGGAACATCTAGTTTTCTACAGCAGTTGCATCACTGCAGATAACATGAGAGGGGCTTGCAATCCAAGTTAACTCTTCATTCATTACAGTTGGAGTACTACTTATGTTTATAATTACTCTTTTCTCAGAATTTTTTAGTAGTTTGTTGTCTGTCTTACCTGTTTTCTTAGAACTGTTCCATGGATGAAATCAAAAGACTTTGCATGGAGCAGTTGGAGCTGTTATCTGAAAAAAACCTGTTGAAGATACTTGAAGGTATGAATTAAAGTTTTAGACTCCACTGTACACCAGAGAATAGTCTGCCTCAACAAGATTTACACTCTTTCTAGCTGCTTTATATACTTATATATCTTTACACACACTGTTAAGTACATATTAGTGTGTACATAATCCCTCTGTTCCATCAAGACACACAGTTCACGTACTTGGATTGAGGATATGACATTCCAGCTTTTTGTTATTTTATTGAATTTCCACTTGACATTTAAAGGCTATAGAATTTATTTGTAAACATGTTGTCTTCTCAGTGAAGTGGAACTCTTCAAGTCTTGAATGTTGTGGAGTATCATGCTGTTAATTCTGTCTCCTGTGCTTAGCACCCATAGTATTGTGCTAGGAACACCTAATAAGTTTTTTTGTAATACAGTATAAATGAAAAATGTCAACCATGTGGCTAGCAGAAAGCTCACAAATAACGCTTTTGGTTTTGACGAAGTCTAATTTTAGAACTTATGCTTTAACTGGGAAAAAAATCCTCTTCTGCTAATTGTAATAGAGTTAATAATTAAGAGTAAGCCTAATTATGTAGTATTAATTATATCACCTTCCTAAATTTTCGTGTTTGAAACTGTGTATATCTAGGCAGGATGGGAGCTGATTCTGATACTGACGAGGAGACAAATGGAGGAGACAAGACTGGAGATGATTCAGTCAGTCAGTGAGTAAAAGAAAAAACACTTAAACTTACTTTAAGAAGACTGAACAATACAGAGATTTTTCATAAGAAATGATCAAATATATCATTGAAAAACCCTAGTGCTATATCCTTAATGAAGTAATTACTTCAGTTGAATGACAGTTATCTGTGACCATTAGCAAGCACTAAACTTACAAAAAGGAATTTGTCACTTTATAACATTAAATGTGTCTTGAGCACATAACTGGGTTCAGAGTGGCATACTACCCATCAGCTGAATTGTGGTACTTAAACATTGAAGCCTGCAACAGAGGGCTGTTGATTTAGGTTAACTCTCTTTGTGTGAGCTAAAGCAGGTTAAGTAAACCCTTCCCACTTAGGTCAGTGAATTTTTTAAGTGTGTTTTCATTTCAGCTGAGATTTATCCTTTCTATTTTCTTTCTGGTCCTTCATCCTGCCCCAGCTGAAGCAGCACTGACACTCAGTGTCCTCTGTTAGGGATGATACAGAATGTAGCATTTCAAGAACAGAGGCTTCTCAACAGCAGAGGCTTCCGGTTTCTTATTCTTGACATCTGTCAGTTTTGTAGAGGCCAACACTTTTTAACTTTTTCTTAAAATGCTTGTCTGTTTTTTAAAGACCATTTCTTTGTCAGAAAGAGTTTACCTGTTTGATAGTTTCTATGTAAGTAGTGAAGGGGAAAAGAAAGTTACTAGTTATCACTCACAACACATCAAATCTTAGGAGGCTAATTTGCTTCTAGAAGATGAATAAGCTTTTATGTTTTCAGCACTGATCTGGTTTCAGCTGGTCCACAGATTCAATGCACACTTAATGAATCTTTGAGTACAAGACAATCCACCAATATTGGGCAGATTCAAGTACCTCTTAGCTGCTGGTTTTGTTGGTTTATCTAAACCTACTGAATGGGAACAGTAGTAGTAACAGTAATCCAAATTACTATTGGTAGTAATCCAAATTTCACACTCTGGTCAGTATTTTTATTTAATGGAGACCTAACTTCTGATTCTCTCTGATTCAGAACAGGCTATGCAGTTATTGAATGAAGTAATTTTCTTTGATCGCATCTCATCATATAAACATGCAAGAAAACAGAGTGATACTAAATTATGTTTCATTTTTTTTTCTCATGATACAGTTTTCATACCCTCTGACACTATTTCTTTTAAGGTTCCATTTGGAGCCCATTTGTCACTGTATCCCTCTTTGCTATTTGTTGTTTACATGATCTGTGAATAGGGTCTGTATCAGGACACATGAAAGTTAGTTTTCTTAATTTGGACATTTCTCTCTGCTGACTGTTTAAAAAAGCAAATAGAGAAAATCAAAAATTACAAAATATGCTAAATATATGGTCTCTTTATGTAAAGGAGTCTCTGTTAAGTGATTGATGTTTTGCCAGCAAAGTTCTAAATAGGATGAGAAAACAAACGTTTTGGCTAAATAAGCCATGAAAAATGCCCCAGGGTTTTGATTCCTGGGGAAATTATATGTTGGATTTGTTGGGGGTTTTTTAAGGCCTAATTCACAAGCTCTTTACTATTGCAAAATATATTAAATGTTCTTTATCTTCAAGAGTTATGGCAGGATTAGTGCTGCTGGGTTTCAGTGAGGTGGGTCTGTGTCAAAAAGATGTTTGCTAATGTTGAGACGTGTATTTATGTCCCTTAGTTACAGTAGATTGGGTAAATTCTTGCTTATATGAAAATTATTTGAGATGGTGAAAATCTAAAAAGAGGAAATTAATGGATAAAACAATAAAATAAGAAAAGCAAGAAGGATTTACCATTTTTAACTAGTGGATATCTGAAGACACTTAACTATTCGCCCGTGTCAATTAAGAAGGTTTCAGTAACTGACAGCAAAATCAAGAAAAAATTGTGTTTTAAAAAAATAAAAGAATGAGAGATGTTGATCATAGTTATGGAGCAGATTGCTTCCTTTTGGAAACAATGCTTGAGGTGCCCCCTGCTCTTGTATCTCTGTCTCTATCCTGAGAGTTTAAGATTTCAGACCCCTTCAAACTGGGCAGGCAAGGTATGTTGGTTTAGGAATTGTGGCTTTTCTTCTGCCTTTAAAAAATAGCGTGCTATACACATGGGTGCTATCTGAGAACCGTGGCTCATAGGTTCAGCTGTGTGCCAGCATTAAAAAGAAAACAAAATGGGAAAGCTTTTTGGATGGTAGAAAAATAAAGGGATAGGAGGAAACAAAGAAAGTTAAGGTTTTAATGTTAAAGTCCAGCACTCAGTAAGTAGACTAGTATTATCCTTTTACAACTGTAAATGGTAACAAGCCCTATTTACTAATTAGGGCTAATCTTTGGGCGTTAGGGTAGCTTCTTTGCAACCTGTGTGTAAATAATTATAAATGCAAGTTTGCAAAACTTCAGAAACTGTGTTTCAGCAACAAGTCAGCCAGCAGAGAAGCTAAACATGCAGTCATGAAAAAATAGTGAATGCTGCATTGCTAACAATTTCAGTTGTTTGTAATCGTTAGTGTATTTATAATTATAGCCTGGGTTTGAGTGGGTGAATTTGTCTTCTCTTGGAAAAGACTTTTCATAACAAAAAAGGCAGTTTCTCTGTTTATATTCTCATTGTTGGTTCTCCCTAGATTGTCTTCATTACTTGTGGTTTTTGTGTGATTGACTTCTTTTTCCTGTATTCTATTAATGTTGCAAAAGTAAAGCATTAGGGCTTTTTTGTTTTAAGTCTGACTTGTATTAGTTGTTTTCATG